ACTGTCTGACGCGTCTGCCTCCGCGACCCGAAAGGAGAAGCGGCGATGGAAGATGAAGAAGAAGATGAAGCAAGCACTTGATTCATGTAATTAGGTGTTTCTGCAGCCTGAAGCAACCTTTCTTGTTCACTTAAATTCTTCTTCATGTATTAGGTGGTGGTTTTAGGAACAGGCATTAAAATCACCGTTAAAAGCATATCTGTCTATCCGGGTGTCATAAGTATCCGTGCTTTGTTCGCTCATTCAGAAAAGTCAATAATTACTAAGAAAGTCGATTGACAAAAAAATCACTGTACTCGCTTTGTCGTTATTCAAGTCCAGCGGTTTCAGATTGGTTGCTTAGAACTGTATCCAAACCGCCTTTCAATAAGGTTTACTTTGGTGACACAGTGCGTCAGAGGTCGGCTTCGAACTCCTGAAGAGTTGGGTTCAGTTTCAGCGGATAGCGATGTTTGTTTAACCAAGAATTCCCTTCTGCACGCTGCTTCAGACTCGGGCTGCTCAACTGGTAGAGCGTCGAACTAACAGCAGATGTTCCGGGTGCTACCCGCGGTTGGGGTCACTCGCTTTTCCTTCCTCGAGGTTGATCAATGACTACCAATCAGTGGGAATGAAACAGAGCAGCGTAGCAGTTCACTTAGAATAAGACTTTCTTGGCTGATGGCATGAAACTGGAGATGAGATGCCGGTCTCCATTTCCATGCCTTCATCAAGACTGCCTTGTCTGAAAAGCAATGTCGACAGCAGCTATTTGTCCATTACTTGTAGTCTTCTGTGTCCTTTCCACAGAGTGGTACTCATTTATCAGTCTCGGAAGGAAAAAACGCGAATGACTCCGAACAGGGCTCGAATCCACAGCCTCTCGGTTCTGAGTTTGAAGCTCTACCGCTGAGCAACTGTAGCGAATGACTATAATATCTGAGCGATTTTTTTGTGCACACCTGCGACTGAAGATTTACCCAAGTATCATAGGAGAACGACAAAAGAACGCTTGGCGAAAATGGCGTGATTACACTATTGTTCTGAGGACATATGAGCCCGGATGTGACGCTTAACATTTAACTGAATTCTGAAAGCCCTCTTGGAAGCTGCTAGGCAATTTCTATTGAAAAGCTCGTTGATGCTTTAAGATATCAGCCAGCTTTATATGAAAAAATGGCACAAAACACGGTTTATCTATACACAACGCAAAAGATACTGTGATCAGTCGGTGATTGACCAATGTCGATGTTTCGGCAGGCCTGTGTTTCACGGGCCCTGTTCAAGAAAGGTTGGTGATGACGTTTCATGAATGTGGTTGGTTTTCCGCAGCAATCGTCAGTTTCAGAGACAGAAGGCCGTCTGACGCGACCGATCTACTTTGAAGAAGGCCGAAACGTCGGTACTTGTAAATTATCGGACTGACCACAGTACCGTGTTTTACGCTATTTTTCAGTATGACCACCAATTTATGAACGAATTACTCGATATCTATATGGTAAAATCGAAGAGACTTCAATGCTGTTTCAGACCCTACTTGCTAAGTGATTCTTCGATCCCGCTCCTGTGTTTCATTTAATATAAAAGACTAGTGATTAGACTTTTATGACTGCCATGAACAAGTACCTCAAAGTCGGGTTCCCTAGTGATGGAACGCTTGAGGAAGAGATCGACCGGCGAATTGGAGTAGCCAGTGGTGTTCTGCGTGAAATAGCCCGACCCATTGTGACTAAAGCACAGCTCAGCCTGAAAACTAAGCTCTCAATATTCAAGTCGATCTTTATCCCAATACTTACCTACGGTGATGAATCGTGGACCATCACTGAAAAACTTCGAACCCGGGTACGAGCTGCTGAAA